GCGGGAATGTTCGCGACGTTAATTCCGCGCGGGACAAGCGCCTGGCGTTCATTATGCGAAGAGCGTAGACTCGTGCGCTGAATTTTCTTCGGCAGATTCCAGCCACCGCATCCGCGAATTAATTACGAAACTGGCGGCGATTCATCGAGGGCGCCTCCGCCGGAGACCATATCGCGGGTTCTAATTAACACGGCGGGTATGCGATTCTTTCTACCGTTCGTGCCTGCGCGCGGGGGTATCGCGCGAAAGAATTCAACTGAGCCGCGCGGGCTTCATCCACGATGGATGTTCTTCTTGTTCGCACGATGTTCGAGTATCGCTCGAGGACGTAGTTAGAGAGACCTCCGACGCTGGTACCAAGGATGTAAAATGTTGGAACAAAACCGCGCAATCCATTTATGAATATTTTACCGCTAGATGCTCTCCCTTTTTCCGTATAATGAGCAAGGCGAGAGAAATACGTCGCGCGGAGATAAATAATTCAGCGAGAACGTGTGAATAACAAGCAATAAACTAAACTATGAGCATAACAGTAAACTGAACAGGAATATAACAATGTAAATTATGCAGCGACACCAAATTTTCCGTGATCGTAGCATAGTTGCGATACTTTGCGAAGGTTGTTATCTGCGCTTTGGTATTTGCAGATATTGCAAATATTTAGATAATTTAATTGTTTCTCAGCGATAGGGGTTCAGTGTCAACGGTGCTAGACGGACCGCATGAGCGGGCACGAAAAATGAAAGATCCCGCGGAAGATCCTCGACAAAATTAATTAACGTCGACGTTGCTGGCGCTACGTGTTTTCCTTCCTCTCTACTGTAACGAATTAATCCCGGCGCGGATCAAAGGGAGAGGCTGCCTCGCGCTGATTCCTGTTTACATTTTACGGAATCGCGAGAATTTCCAAGGGCAGGGCAGGTAAGGCGAATCTCTCGCGGGACGGAAATTGCGGAGGGAAAACCGCGCGGTTTCATTCCCGTATTTGTTCTCATCGCGCGCCTTTAGCTCCAGGCAGTTATCAAAACACGTATCGCGTCCGCGCCACAAAGATTTTCCTATGGGATACAATATAAAGTATTACTGAGGGAACATAAAAAAGACCGGCTAATTCGTGTGTCGCACAGCGTGAAATACGTCCAATGTAACTGGACAGCTATTATGCCCTTTAATTCTTTACATTTTATCATTTCCACTTTTAGACTACCAGAGACTCGCGTAAACCGCTTGCCGCTCAAATGATCTTCGATCTGGCTCTTTCGTGTCTCTTTTCGTCCTTTACGTCTTCCTCCTTTTGTACATTCAGAACAAATTACGATACTTCGTGTCGACTACGTTTACACGTCACCCTTAATCGGGTTTAACAACATCCGCAGTTATCAAACTGGCCAATCACAACTATTCCTCGGAAGAATGGAATGACTGCGATTGGCCACCAGCCTCTTCGCTGCGGATGTTATTAAACCCGATTAAAGGTGCCGTGTAACAGCACTCTACGACTACGTTTACACGGTACCTTTAATCGGGTTTAATAACATCCTTAGTTATAAAACTGGCCAATCACAACTATTTCTCGGAAGAATGGAATGACTGTAATTGGCTAGCACTTCAACTACGGATGTTATTAAGATCCCGATTAAGGGTGCCGTGTAACAGCTCTCATTAGCGCAAAGATCGTGCGATCTCGCGTAATTTTTGTAATTCGTGTACGTTTCTCTTGTCTGATATTATTGACAGAAAGGGAAATCTCTCTAGCCTTTCGCAGTCATAGCTGTCCGCTTCAAACGCGAGCTGTGTGCCTCGGCATTGTAATAATTATCACTCGAAAGCCCATCTCTCGTCTCTGTCGATATCAATGCAGCCCGATAACCGCCGCTGGGAAGAGTCATTCGCGTACCCGCATCGAAGATGTCGGCGACGTTAATTGCAACTAAAGCGATCCTTGGATCTTTGTAATTAAACGTTAAATTGCTTCGAAGCAGAAAGGAGATACGACTGGCAGCGATGTATTTGATTACGTTCGCTGATGTTTTCAACAGAGATTTTAATTATAAATATTGGCTCGTCCCATTTCTATTTCCTGCATTTGTAACACGAAAATCTCATTTATCGATTAATGATTTTTTATTGAACATCTGGGACACAATGCGCGTCCATTGGGAGTTGCTCTATATTTCATTGTTCAATATAACGCATTTACAGGATTTTATCTTCCCACGTATGTAGAGAAAACGCGCTGCTCATAAATTTTCCAGAGTCGTAAGACCAATAACGTAGCGTTCATCATCCGCGGCGTATACGCCGTGGAAAACACTCCCTCGCGAAATTGCCCACGCGACCCACAATAAAAACGACGCGTCGTATTATACCCTTGGAAATATCACGGGCTTTATCGGTATTCGTGAAAGTTTTACTCAATTAAAAAAAAAAGAAGAGATGTGCTCGTAAACTCCGCTTATACTTAAAACAGAACTCTGTGTCGCTCGATTCGTTTGTTAAAGTGGAGTTTACCCCACATGGGCAGACACTGTCCACTCCCCCCCTGTATTCTTGGTTCATCCCAAAAAGTCCCGACGAATAAGCGGTACCTTTGGGGAAACGAGCTCTGGATATATGTCTAAAGTCAGGCGCGGAACAAGTTCCGTGGTGGGTCTCAGCAGCGGGATGAGTAATGGGCAGGTCTTGCGTACTGTAGCGAGCAGTTTGTCGTCGAAACTAACCAAGGTCCCTGGCAGCTCATTTCGCAGCAGGGCACGTAATTCAATTTCCATGTAGCGATTCCCCTGCTCTGGCCTCGTGCTCGTCCCTCCTGGCCCTTTCGGCCCGAACCGGACGAGAACCGAAATTATCTCGGGGCGTCACTTTGCCAGGCGCGAACGCATTCTCGGGATGTTTGCACGCGCCTCGAATGTCAAAGCTAGTCTATTATCACATCGTGCCTGTGCCTGCGACTTGTCATATTATACACAATAACACTAATAAGATTATTGTCAGCCCGAAATGTGGCTCGTCTCTGTTCCGATGCTCCTATCTCCGTTGCAATCTCTGTTGTATCTCTCCTGTTCTGGTTCGGTTGAATTGAAATTTTCTCATACAATTATTAATGTATGTTTACCGCAGTGTATTATGAAACATTTCATTGTGACCTCTGGAGCGATACCGATGGCGGCCCGGCACGAAAGTACGGGATTAAATCGAGCACTTGGTCGAAAGTGGTTTAGGGGAGAAACGACGGAAGGATAATAAACGCGAAGGCGACGGTCCTTTTAATCTTGAGAGGATAAGAGTGCTCGAGGACGAAATCCGATGAGGATACTGAGAGGCATTGTTCATTTCAACGATATAAAACGGGATTGCGCGATCCGACGCGGACTAGCTTGACTTCATTCTCCCAGAAGTGACTTCCCAAATGTGCGGGGAATAAGATTTTCTCGGGAATTAAGGGGCCATCCTCCTTCTCTTCTTTCGCCTCGGTAAAAGTCAAATAAAAAGAGCGACTTTGCCCTCGTCCTCTTTCTCTCTCTCTCTCTCTCTCTCTCTTGAGAAGTAGCAGCATCCGCTCTTCTCATCGTGAGATTTGGCAGATCGATGATTTATTCCGAAAAGTTCGAATTGAATCGCGATATTAAAGATTCCGTGCACGGAGTGATCCAAGTGAATGCGCATACGGAATATGATAGGCACGCTTTTCCTTTTCTTTCAGCTGTAGCCCACCGTGTCCCGAAGTTAAAACCAATCCCGAGATTTGTTTCTCAATTAGTTCTGTCGATATTCAGTAACGCACGGTAACGTTCACTTAAGAGGCACTAACTGAAATGTTAAGTTGCTTAACTACAAAGAAAACGGTCAAAATTTGACCTGAAAAGAGTCACTACTTCCCTTATAGAGCCTGAGCAGAATAGCTATCTTACAGCTTTATGACAGCCTTAAGATAATGTTTTATGTTTTAAGCCTTTGTCTTGAAGTAACGCACAATAACTGTCTTTAAGAGTACAAGACAGCCGTTCTGCTCAGGCCCTTAGCGGTAAAGGGGCCAATGCGAGTGTAATCAACAGAGGTTCAATGGATCCTCTTTAGCCTAAGAGATTTCAAAGAGGGTGAAATACTTTATTACATTCTCTTTGAGGGTTCGAATGAGGTTAAACAGAATTTTTTTATTCATCTGGGTCTCAAATTGGAGTTTCAAACCGACTTCGGAGTTGATCGTTGGACCAAATGAAGACGGAATCGAATAATTGAGGCCCATTTCGGGACCAAATACTCGACTCGGGTATATTCTCTTCCTTTTCCGGGGAACCGACAGCCTCGTCGGTATAGCTAACTGTACGATCTACGAATCAAAGAGCCGGCCATCGGAATTTTCTACAATCGAATTTGTCAGTGGGGCCTCGTGAAGGGAGCACGTTAAAAGTTTCGCCACGCTCTTTTTTCCCGATGAATATGTCCCGAACTCGCATAATCGCGTTTGTCACGCGAGAAGCGATGCTGAGCGAGAACGCTATTGCGAATAAACGTTACGAAGTGATTCCAATTAAGGGCCATTATAGGGTCGTTAATAATGGCGCGCGGCGCACGAGGTCGATAACGTTGTTTGGCAGAGCGTAGTGCGCGCCGGCTGTAACGGATTGCTAGGGACCGTTACGAATCTCGACGTCATTAAGTCCCAGGGACTTACGTTATTTATGAAACTGTATAATTTTTTAATATAAATTGCTCCTTCGCTCGTGCTTTGCATGTGGCAGCATTAAAGTGGGATCCTCGTGGAGTGAACGCTTTGCGAGATATTTCTAAAATTTTATTCTGATATATTCTGACACGCTTTCTCCTGCCGTGATATTATCCCCGCGCGATTTTAATAGACCTGCGTAAGATATTTCTTTGAGAAACGACTGACACCGAGCTGCAGCTCGTCTGTGAGCACGTCCGGTCCGTAATATCCACGCCTATTCTCACGGCTCCGCTAGGATAAATTCTTTAAAATGCCACCTGGATTTTTCCAGAATGCCTAACGAGAAGATATGCGTCTGTGGCATGGGCTCGGACCTGTCCAAGTCACGAAACAGCTCGATCGTCATGGGAAAGCTGACCATCCTCCTGCCGAAGACGAAGGGCAACAAGTCAGAGGACAAGGATTCGAGGAAGCAACCCGATGATGGACGGGTACCGAAGACACGAACGTCGAGCGAGACCGGAAGCAGCAGCACGGGGACGGAAACCGCGAGGCCCACGGTGAAGAACAGCAAGCACGAGAAACGGCTCAGTCACTCGCGGAGGACTCGAAGCGCCGATAGAGCCGAGTCGCATTACACTTACATCGGTTAGTCCACGTATTCAGCAGGGACTTTGTCAATATGATCACGACGTCGAAAGAATTCATTCGGAAATGTCTATTATGCTTTAAAGCAGATTCTTTCGAAGTAGTTGGATAATAAATATTAAATCGTGTGGCGAGCGTGACGCAAAGAAATGTGCGCTGCTTAGTAAAGAAATGAACGAGAAGATCCGAGTTCAAATCCACCCACGGATACCGCTGTTTTCTCGGGGACGCTGCCTCTCTTCCGGAGAGAAGTGGCGCAACTACCGAGAGTATCCTGTCACACGTATCCCTGTTCTCCGAAAAGGGGGTTAGCGAGAGGCTAACAACCCCTCACCGTAAAATTTCATTGTTGCGAATACACACAATGAGCCTTGGATGGAGGCAATTTGTTGGGGAGGCCAGGGCCCACTTGGAGCTCTAGAGCCGGTTATGATGATAATATCCGGCGCAAGCTCGCTAAAGGCCTGTGTCCCCACGATGCCAGAACTTGGCCTAAGTTTTAGTTTCGTGAAATCTGTAGCCAATCAACTTGCAGCTATTCCATAAAAGCTTGATCTGCTACAGATATCACAAAACTAGAACTTAGACCAAGTTCTAGGCGTGGACACAGGATCTTTAACGAGCTTTTGTGCGCCGAATATTATGCCATCATCATAACCGGATCGTGGACACAGGCTTTAAGAACGAGGAAAGAGAGAAAAAGTATGTTGTATTTTTCTGTTTCCGATCGGCAGATTCGGGTTCGAGTATCCTCGGCGGTGGGATTCGTGAGAACACCATACCGGAAGCTCTGTATGCCACCATACCGGACACGCCGTCATACGCGAGCATCAACGAGACCGGGACGAGTAGGTCGAATTCGCAGATCAGGTCGCAACCCCTTTACTCCGCCATTCCGTCTATGACGTCGCCGCCGCCGACGTACGACGTCGCGGTTGCAAAAACGTGGCAGGTAAGATTTGCCGCAGTTTATCATCGGGTTATATGTCGCTTTTTCCGCTTCACGTTGATGTAGAGTGAATAAGGGAAGCGCCGCTAATGATATTGCCGCGTTTCCCACATCGCCCAGCCTGGAGCTACACAAATTCGATAGTAAATCATTTCGTAATCATTTCTCGCTCCGTGACATCCGAGTTAATTTTCACAAAATTAAACACGCATACATACGTGCAAAATAAACGCGCGCAAAGCAACGTTGAATTTATTATTTCCTAATATACATTTAATCTAGTAATAACGTGATAATGTGACGTGGCATCTTTATAAATTAAAATTTCAACATTTCAACATTAATCCGTGCTTACTAAGACCATTTATTTTAATTAAACGCGTTCTCTATATCTCTCGTGTATCCTAAAATCCCACGCGGTCCGAAATAACAGAAATCAAATTCCTTGACCTGAATAAAGTATCTACGAGCGATCGTATCGTCAATCGGTGTTGGAATCGACCTCTCCGGTCGTTGATCCGTGTTACGTGTAGACCTGCCAGCTCATTCGTGTCGCGAGTCGCGTTTTTGAACGTTTAAGAAACCTCTCTGGAAAATCGTCGGATGCTGCCATCCGAAGCGACGTCCTAAAAGTAACAATACCGACCACATCTATCTCGGAGAACTGGCTTAATAAATAATTGCATGTTATTACTTGCCTACAAACTGCCTTTCCGACAAGCTGTTATTTCAACGAAGATAATATTGCGCAGTTACCGTTTGCACAATGAAGTTTCAGAGCGGTGCAGGCGGACAGCAGTTCCCGACAGCGGTCAATATTCTCTACAATGGCCACAATCGGCATTCGGTCATTTGTAAGAGCGTAACGCTCGTAAAGCAATAACAGCTGGTTGGACAATAGTTGCAAATTGTCATCGTCTCCCGCGCGCTTTAAATGGTATAACCGAAATATTAATTTCCACAATCGCGTAGATACCCTGTACGTAGCGTACTGATATAACGGCTCGGTCGCGACACACAACGTATCAACGATATACCGGTACGCTTCGGCTAGTTCCGTCCCCGATAAAGCCGGTTATTCAATCGCATAATATCTCGAGTTATCGAAACGAATTATCGCTTCGTACTGCGGGTACGCGGTCGCGATAGCTCTTGCAGGAATGCCGTCTGTCATTCGATTTGTATTCCGCTGCGCAATTTCGTGACGAGCAGATGACGAGGAAATTGGCAGCGATCTAACAATCGGCCATCACCCCCGAAGCGTCCTGAAGATCGATAATCGGAATGAGGCGCGTCCCGACTGGAGCACTGTAATCGATCGGTGCAATCGCAAATTGGCCTTTTGTGGGTCGCCAAATGCGCTATTAGTAATTACTAATCAGCCAATGCTGATTAGCCGACAATCGTACGGTGATCGCGGGACGTTCGTAGGTCTCGCAGCTAGCTATTTTACGCCAAACAGCACGATTCAGCGATAACAAGATTGCGGTTGTCAAGCTTTCACGAGATTGATCGCGTAGTTTCTGTCAAGGAGAAAAAAATTATCTTAAGCACGACAGCCTAAATTACGACACAATCGCAAGCGAGGCGGAAAGAGAACGAACTAAAATCATAGGAAACATTTTTATTGATCGCACAGTTTTTAGGAAAATGCAATTTTATACGTGAAACAGTCGAAATGTATTTATTACGTAAAAGTGCATAAAAGATAATACGGTAAGATCTTATTCTGTAATCACGTATAATATTGTGTAACTCTTATAGTGATAAGCACCGATGTTTTTATTTCCTTTCATTGATTACACGAAATAACAAGATATCCATGACAAGCGCAAATACTGTGATATATTGTATTTCTGGTATCAGCAGCTTACGGCTAATGCCGGGCCAGTTTAATTATTATGCGACTGTTTCTTGCGTCCATGATACAATGTTGATAATGCGAGCGTAACATCTCGAAATGTCGGTATTTGGTTTCACGGCCGGTCTGGCGATTTATCAATCTGATTCTGCTCACGTGTCTCTGACCCGTCTAAAATTATCGCGGTCCAAATTTACGCAACGATTTCGTCGCGGCAAAGTAGTCCAGATTAACTTTAAAATATTCAAAACTACGAATCTATGGTTGTTTTTGTATTTATGTGAACAATGCCTTACACTATATATACGCCACAAGTTTTTGCGATATCGATTCATAACGACGATGCAATTGGAAAACTTGTTCGTGCTCACAAGCATTAACATGCACCTGTCGGTATGTGATGAATTCGAGTTTAGGAAATTCATAGACTGGAGGTATCAACTGAGGTGTTGATATAAAAAAGTCGATGGGCCATTGAAGAGAGCTTGAATCAAATTGAACACGTCCTGTTTATGTAGGACGCCTTCGTGTTAAAGTACTTTGATACACCTCGGTGCAAGATCACATGTCAGCTTATGAAGAATATGGCCATTTTCGAGATTTCCTCAAATACCAAAGTTCGCCCATAGACTTCTATAGACGGAGCATTAGCTACGACTCTGGGCAAGAGGGGTCTGATATTCGGGGCGCGGGAGGACTCATCTGACATCGACTCTTTCCGGTGAGATTCGGTAATATTCGGTTCACATTTCCAATACGTGTGAACACGTATATACGGCGCGTTGCTTGTGTGCGAGCGTGCGCGCGCGCGTGGCCGAACAGATCATCCCCACTCCAAGTTGGAGGGGATGATTGGAGGGGACGTGTGCACACGTATTGGAAATGTGAACCGAATATTACCGAATCTCACCGGAAAGAGTCGAAGTCAGACGAGTGATCCCCTTACCGCGATTATCAGTTACCCCTCGTACAAAGGCTCCGTCTATAGAAGTCTATGAGTTCGCCTGTTATTTCATCTGTAGTATTCCGGTGAAACGGCGAAAACTCCAAGCAATATCCGAGTGTGCGGCTAAATGTAAAATAGTAAATTCCCGATGTCTGCTCCTGATACGGAAAAGATGTAACAGATGGAAAACTTGTTCAACGCGTTTCTATGATTTACCAGTTTCGCAAACAATAACGCTAATACGACGTTTGCAGCGATATAGTGCTGGGCAATGCAATTAAACCTGCGCGGCGTTCGATTCACAGCCTGTACATTAAATTTCGGCATGTTCGGCGACCCAATTGTTCGAGTTTGCCTCGGTCACGTTCCTCCGAAGAGATTCGCCGTCTCGGAGAGGACTCGCTTTATCGAGGCGAGCGACTAGGATAGGAACAGCGAGGTAGAAGGGAGAGTGAAGCGCAAATTCAATGTACGGCTTCTTAACTCGAGGACCGTTCTAATCCGGTTGGCCGCCCAATTCCGCGTCGCGTATAGTTCTCCGGCGCCGACTGGAACATAAGTTCTTCCGCTGTGTTATCCTATAGTAGTTGCTGCCATCGTCACCGCCGGGAAGCCGGTTTCGCACCGAAAAATCAGCCCTGAACGCCACAAATTCACGATACTGTTCTCGGAACTTCTGCGATACGACGCCCGTTCTTATTAATGTCGGAACGGAAAGATAATCTGCCGGGAAAAAATTATTCGTGTTGCTATATAGTTCAATAATTGCTTATTCTTCGATATAAAAAGATCATTGACATAATTTTCTTGAGCTCCTTGAATATTTCATGCCAACGCCATTTATTGAATAAAAAGCACCTCTTACTCTGGGATTTGTCCAAATGACATTGGTGCACGTTAAAGAAGAGGCACGAGGTCAAGTGATAATCGCGGTGATAAATTCTTAAACCGGCTTCCTGTGTGTCGCGATAACGAGAAAGCTCCGTTTGCACTTAGTTGCTCTAAAATGAAGAGGTCGTCAAAGGAGATCGCGAAAGAGGGTTGAAATTGTTCTCGGGCTGAAATGTCGAGCAGCAGTGTCGCCCGAGCGAGCCAAGCGCGAGCTTGGAAAGCTTGCTCGTATGAAATGCAAAACCATCCCGGGGAAGTTCGCTACGGTACGCACGGCTAAATTGTGCGGCCTGATAAAAGAAGACCTCGGAAAAACATTCTCGAGACCGTAATTGTGGATCGTATATCTCGCAGAAGAGAGGGAGAGGGAGAGAAAAAGATGGAATACACTCGCTCGTTAGCCGACCCATGACCGCTATGGTCTTAGATCGTTTATATAAAAGGAAGGGCATTATTTTCTCCTAGATTTTTCTCGGGAGAGCTACTTTATGTGCGTCGCGAGGAGTGCGTTTTAAAGCATTTCAGAATGTTGTCGTTGCCACTTTCTGTGCACTTTACGATTAATTTGAACCTTGGTGCAAGCTAATTTCCGATTAGTGAAATCTCGCGTGCGTCGAGGACGATTCCCTCAAACTCCGATATCTTTATTTTCAAAACGCGAACGATCCGCCTCCCCAAAAGATTAAAGCGCGACAACGGTCAAGTTGGTGTCCGCTCCGCCCGAGCGACCATTGGAAACATGTACATACGTTTTGTATATTCTCCGGCCTCGCCCCGGGATGAAGAAACGCAGTTATCAGTAGGCTTTTCTCTCGAGAGCCCTGGAGCTTACTTCGCGGAGTCCTTTAGTGGCTGTTTCCATTCATGAGCTGCAAGCGCGCGAGGCACTCGCGCCTTCTAATTTGAATAACAGCCTCGCCTTTACTATTTTCCCGCGAGGCCGCGGGGCTACATTGTGCCCGCGGGAGTCACCCATTTGTCAGGAAACCCCTCGCGGGAAGGCGCAAAGAGGTTCCTTCGGACGATGCCGCATGGGACCAGAAAGTCCTTTAGCGAGCGAACGAGCGAACCGCGCGATTCAGCTTACCGCAATTACGGGGAAGCTGACGTGTTATCATCCCTGCGAACTTCCGGGAAAACTCGGTCTCGCGAGTCGCTCTCCGCCAATGAAATTTCCTCGGCTATCGCTTGATATCGTAATGAAAATTTCGAGAAGTTCCGGTTAAGGATTATCGACAAAGTACGCGGCAGCGCCGAACATTAGATAATGGGTTTCGCTGAATTCTACATTTCTGATTCCGCGTCGACTTGTTGCAGACGCGGCGTCATATCAGCGGACTGAAAATTTCATACCGCAATATGTTGGCGCGGGTGAGAAGCCGCGGTTAAGCTGCCTTCATTGCGACACGGGGCGTTTACATTAAAGAACGGCGGTTTTGAATATTTAGGCGGAGAGGCAGCGTGTAACACGGGGCTTCGCGGGACTCCTCTGCAGTTATAGAATGCTAGATATACTCTCGCAAGCTGCTCTCGCATATTAATTTCACCGCGTGAGTTAGCCCAAATGATATGAGTGGCGGAAATGATGAAGCGGAACTGTGGGCTAGTCACGGCTGCAAGAGACCGAGAGATTGAGAGAAATATAGACCGAGAGAGAGAGAGAGAGAGAGATATGGACGAAAGAGAGAATATAAAAGTAATGGAAAAATAAAACCAACTAGGTAGGAGTGGATTAAATTGGTCCGGCTTGCGAAAGGGAGGAGAAACGGGACGAGCGAAAATTAGTATGAGGAGGCGAGTTACGATACAATAAAGAGATCGCATGAAACGAAAATGAGGAGGGAAAATTGTCAGTTAAGCAGCGACGATGAAAAAGATCTGCAACATTTATCTCCGTAGAGAAAACATTTCGCACATTTCGCACGCGTAATCTAAGAATCATTTCAAGGATAAATAGAAAGACAAAATTGTATTCTTGCCAATTAATAATTTTTTAAAAAGTTAAGATATGATAAATAATTAATGTTACAGTGTTCTCGCGTGATAAATATTAATTTTTTAATAAACGGAGAATATAAACAAAAATGTGCGTTTGCATACTTGAAGATCGATGCATTGTGAAAAACTGCGCGCATCATGTGCAGAACTTGAGACAATTTTGCCGAGATCTTTGCACAAACAGCATTTTCGGGAGAAACATAATCATCTCGGAGCGAAGCTACCGCGGACGGAAAAACGCAACCACAGGCTCTGGGCGATCCTCTTAAACGAACGCCCGAGGGCGACCACGCTCGTCTCACGCTGGAAAATGGAATCACAAGATAATAATCCAGAAATTCAATTTCACTCTTCCTCCTCGTCGAGTAGAAGGCCGTGGTTGCAGGCGGTTGACTTCGTCAAGAGCGAAGATCGCGAGAATCGAAAAGTCCCTGCCCGACTCGATTCGACGACAAAAGCGATCGGGGAGCTCGATGTTGGACTTCTGATTCTCGTCGCGGTTCCATTCTGCCTCATAACTCTTTTATTCTCCGTATATCGAATATTTTCGCGGCTAGACCGAGAGGAATTTCCGAACGAGAAGAAAGAGAAATTTTTCGATCAATTTGCTGGAGATGTACTCGAGGTTTCATTATGATCCTTGAAACGAAACGCAGCTATGCCATCGACGTACCGGCAACTTTCTCGATACGTTTTATTTTCGGAAAGTATAAAATATATCTCGCGATGGAATACATATTTATAGCCCAAGTTTCCTGACGTTCGATAGAGCGTAGATTCGCGAGGATAAAGGAGTGCATCGTATGTTTCCATTTGCAGATGACATCTATGTTACTGTGCATACAATATAGATAGCCGTACTATTTCTTCTCGGTTTCCCTTCCACACGCGCTACAAACCTGAACCTGAATATAAATTATTTTTTTAATTATTCAATTATTTCTACTTTTATTTCTCGGACTAATAAAGCCGATTAAATCTTGAAAATATTTAATGCGAAATGTAATATTAATAAGATTGTAAAACACTTCCTAGACTTTTTAGTCTTATTAAAAATTACTTTTCATTGTAAGAATCATAAGCTTTTCGTTTTATTCTTATCAAGATCTTCTTAAATAATTAAGTTGTATTTAATATTTTTTGATTATTAGTTTAAAAAATTGCATAAAATTTCATGATTTTCTAATACTATAATCGTAGATAAATACAGAGAGAAATTAAGAGAAAATACATTTTTGCGATAATTTTCGCTTATATGCCTAGTATCAATTTTAGTCTTTTGGAGAAAAAGAAATTTTTAATTTTTTAAAATTACTCTTATACATATAAACGTAAAATATAAAATATATTACGAATATATGTGGAAAACTACGAAAGTCGTTTCTGCGCAAAACTTTTAGTAATAATATAAAGTTAATCTTAAATAGAGGCATTGTGCGACAATTAGATGATTAAATGAACGTCGACACCTTTTGCGGGGAATGCAAAAGGAGAGGGCGTATGCTTGCGAGCTTCCGCAAGCTTTCACAATATAATATGCGAGGCAAGTCGGGCCCGGTGAGAAACGAGAGAAGTTTTTCCGCGGCGTTTTACGCCGTGGCTGAAAACCGCGGTTGGTTCAAAAGGAGCATTAAAAAACAGTTCGCAGCTTTACTATAATTTTCAGTGTAAGATAATGGACGTTGAAAAATGTAGCACTGATTTACGCGGCTAACTTCGTTACCCGAGCTTGCATTGGTGAATCAGTAAATTTTTGCTATCAAGAATTAGAATTTCAAACTTCAAATCGCGAAAATTGGGAATCACTATCTAAATTTCAAAAAATTTTTCAAAATTTCAAGAATTAAAATTTCGAGAATTTCAAACTTTAAATGGCGAAAATTCAGAATCTCTACAATCTAATTTATAAAAGTTTAACTTTTTATAATTAGTAATAACAATTGCCCTTTTACGGGCACGCTTATTCTCGTTATCGTCGCTCGAGAATGATTAGCTGCATTCACAATATCAAAGATATTCTACAAAATTATTATATCGAAGAAATCGAGGTGTTCAAGTATATGTATTATACATCAGACGATAGCAAAAGTCTACTATTTTTTTTTTTAGCTAAAATAGATCGCAACTTCAGTTTTATCTCGCGAATCGTTGTTTCATATGTGAAACGCGACACCAAAGATCAGGTATCGAAACCACAGCCATGCAAACATAATGGTAAGTAACTACAACCTGGGAATCGGAGTTGCGGATAGAGTAACGTGACCCTAATGCGGTCTCTCGCGAGTAATGGGAGACTCTTGTGAAGTTCAAAGATTAATTAACAGACTTAATTAACAACAATATTTTTAAACGAAACGCAATAGACTCGTTAGAGGTAGACATAACAAATGGAACTTTCTATTTGCAGAACTTGGTTTTTATATCGAATGTAGCACTGGTTACTTATCTCGAAAGCAGGTTTTATGTGAAAACCGTCGCAAACACCCTCCCAGCGTATAGCATAATTTAAAAAATTCTTTTTTTTTTTTAGAGTTTGCGACACATGCATATTTTTTTATGTAGCATATTTCTCGTTTAAAACTTTGCGTTGCTCTACTGTGGTATGATATTTTAAAATGTGGTTTAAAACATAAGATAATAAAAGAATAGTTATAAAAACCTCAAAAATTTGCTAAAGTTGTAAATTATAAAAATAATTTGTTGTGTACAATTGTTTAAATAATTAATTTAACAAAACTTAATGTAACAACGTCCAGTGTATACTTAAATATTTTTAATGTTTAAAATAGAAAACTTACAAAAATTAGGTACTACCACCTCTCTTCTTCTTCTTCTTCTTCTTCTTCTTCTCCTCTCTCTCTTTCTCTCTATATGTGTTCATATGCGACTATGAGTTTAATCTTATATCTTTTCCTTTTTTAATTTGAGGCACACGTTTGTGTTTTGCAGAACGGTCGGCCACCAACATATGACGAATATTACGCAATGATGTCACGCTCGCATACTCCTCCGCCACCATGGTCCGACTCAACGACACCGGTGGCTAACCCGACATCGAGTATTCAAGCGCGACGCGAACTCTTGGCCAGCCAGCCTGAGTTTCGCGAGTATCTAACGCAACTGGCGCTAAGCGATCGTGCCTCGCAATATCAATATCAACAGCAACGACAACAATCTAGAGACGCTATCTCGATCCCGAGAGAACAGCAGGCCAGAGTGCAACAGCGTACGCGAGCAATGCCTCCCAGGTGAGTAGTCTCGAAGAGACTGGTGCAGTAAGGGTCGATCTCGGCCGTCGTATCTTGTATCTCGAAGCCGGGATCGCTTGCAGAATAATTCACGTAGTTTCTGGGGTGGCCATATGCGACTATGACACCGCCGGGAGTTGCCCGCGGCTCGGGATGTACCCCGAGACATTTCGAGGTGCTGAGAACTGGTAGCAGGTTCAAAGCGATTCAGAAAAATGGTCGAGGCAGCGATTATGCAAATACAGATTATTCCGCTTCCTTCCTCGTGTTTCTTCTCCGTAAGAGTCGAGCAAATTAAGGAGAAAATGGCAAGAGTTTCTCTAAAACTTGATACGATTATATTTGTTCTCCAACAAAGCGTTTAAATATAATTGTTAAATTATCAAAATTATACAATTGAAAGAATACAATAATTTTTTCCCTATGCACTTATTGTATAATGTAGTTTTGCCATGAATTTGCGAAGCACACCGAGACTTGGTCTTTTCATCCTGAGCATTTTTGGTTACCGTTACAAACGTTTTCCAAACGGGAAAATTTTTATGTGCTTGCAGATCGCAGAGCGAGAGTCGTGCGCAACAGCAACGAATTGCGGCGATGTATACGGATGCTGCGTTTTGTATGGAAACCACAGTACTGCAGACGGCTTTCGATTCCGGCCACGGATTTGCCCTCTGCAGTTTGATGTAAAAGGACGAGCAACTTCACCTCGGCAGGAAGTTGCAGGAAGTCTGATACCATCATTAATCCACGATCGATTCGTTCATTCGCGAATGTTTTCCCTGATAGCCGAGCTGCATTAAAGGAAGCATTTGCGAAACTACTCGACTGTGGATTGATGACGTATTAGTCTACTCGTAATTCATGAATGCAACGAGATGCAGCGTGGTTGAAACGTCGCATCTCGGTGCTTTTAATGAATCTAATGAATAAAGTTACACAAGTAGTATCTATTCCTGATAGTAAAGTATCATTAAAAGATAATAACGCGTAAGTACATGTGAATATGTAAGTATCAAATGGTATCGATTCCTAAATGGTATCTACTTGAAAGTATCAATTCTCTACAATTATTTCCTGGATGCATTCGGTATCGATGCTATCGCCATTCTACGCGATTCTTCTAGACATGTTCATCATTTATAACAAGTTATTACTGTTACGAATGCCTACTAATTTCCGATTCAATTTTGAATGACAACTTTCGAGAAAAGACAGAGTCAAGAAATCTAAAAATTTGAACCAATTTTAAGATTAAATAATAATTTATAATAAAACTAAGCTGTTTCGTAACATTTCCTATCATACGAATTATGAGATGATTGTGAAAGACTATATTTTAGTTTCGCTAAAAATTATTCCGAGTAGCGTACATTCCCGATTCTTTCTTTCGTAGAATAAAACTCACCAAATGACGAGTTTCAGTACTTAACTTAGTATCCACTTTTTACTCTCTAGACGACAGTAGTGTTTGACGCCAAATAGATCCTCCAGGTCTTTTATTTGAGAAAGATATAGATAGAAAGTAACGAGACCATTCAACACGCATGGCAAAGCAAGCTTTTTATTCGCAGGAAATCGGAACTTACAAAATATGTCATAGAGCAAGTTCCGGTATTTTAGCGTGTTTATTTCATAAAGGGAAAATGGGAAAACTTGGTGACCCGAATCGATCAGGGAAAGGCAATTGGAGACAGATTGGGTTTAAACACGATTTTATTGTTTGTTCCGTTCAGTCACACAAGGAACAAAGATGGGTAGCGAACATGCTCAAATTTTTCCGGTTCGGCGAAGAGACAAACGATAGCTTGAGCGTATTTCTACGAGCCGTACAGCCAACATCATATACTGAATAATCATACAGGTTTAATTTTTCAAACCCTATAGAGTTTCTCTGGACAATTCTGGTCTCACTGCACTCTTTTCAAAACAAAAAACCCCGGAAGAAACGATTTTGCATCGAATATCATTTAAGGGATAGAAATTCAATATTAAATTATATGCTAAATTAATACAATCTCATTACTCGTGATTACAATTTATATTAAATCCAATCCCGTTTGTCTTACAGTTTTATTGTAGTTCGTAAAATAGAGAGCATTGCGGAAATTTCAGCGGAAATTAATAACAAAATTTTCTTTTTTATTAAATTGGGAGAAATTTTGCAGCGAATAAAATTGAATTTGAGGTTTAATAACTATAATTTTTGTTGTTACACAAACTGAAAAGTTAGAAATTTAATTCGAATTTCGATTTATAATTGCAATGTTAGTAACTATAAAAAACAACTGGTTAGCGATGCTATTTTCATTTCGTGTACATATACTGAATTGTCTCAAACTGTCGTTTTAGCATTTAGCAGCAATTTAAAAATAAGCGAATGCTGTGGGCATTCGGTATTTAATATACATGGTCCTAACAACATACAAAACAGAAAGTAGTATGTAAAGTTGGTGTTAATCACATGTTGCGTAGCGTAGCGTGACATGTGCGTTAAAGCGCGCAAGTATCGCGTTAGTAGTCACTATCGTAGATATAATAAAATAGAAAAAGTATACAGTTTTAAGTGTAAAATTTACGCACTTATTGAGTTCAAATGAAGTGTATCACGAGCGAATCTTGTGTATCATGAGTAACCAGTATATTACTTTCTACCATTACCTTAGAGTTAAAAATCGAGTGGAGCCAAAATTAGTATCATTTAATCATATAGTATAAAATTAAAGTTAGGGATGTATAGACTATCCGTAGCATAACTTTCGTATTAAAACTCATTGCAACTCTTTCAACTTGTCACTATGTAACATAAAATCTATTTAAGATACGGAAAGATTCTCGTTATACCGAAATTTTTCCATCAGTTTTGTAACGTTTTTCTATCGGCGAAACGTTGTTAGAAGGTGCAAAACTAAGGACTGACGTTCGCCATAGGACAGAATGATCGCACCAACAAGTGTTGTCTCTTTTCTTCCTTTTTTTTTATTTTATCTCAATCACACATGCACACGTACACATGCATATACATACAAAACATGTTATATATTTTATATGTACATTTTGTGGTTAAGTGTAAATATCGTAAAACAGTACTGTGTGTTATGTGTGTAATTTAAATTTAGATAAATCTAGGATTAACGCATAAACTGACAATGAGTATATATTGCTAATTTAATATACGAGCAGTCTTGCCTTCCGACTAACGGAAACGGAGAGTTTATTATATCGGTCTATCGACAACGTAAAACGAACCGAACTACATCGCTATTACCTCACACTGTATGTTATGTATATTATAAATGTTAGAGAATCAAGAAATATAAAATGTATCCGGTGTAAAGTATCTCCTGAGCACTGATTGTTGCTTCACCGACTCTCCCTTTATGTTATTGAATCAGGGTATAGAAATGCTTTCGAAATGCAGCCACTTAAAACTTATAATGACGAAAGAACTCTGTTTACTCTCCCCGGTAATACTCAATGAAGTAATTTTCCAAGAAGTGTGATATCGTTCAGATACCGAAACTTACATCTTGCTCAGTACGACACCGGTGACGTCAAATATCACGAAATTGAACGTTGCCACATTAATCTGCACCTGATAATAATTTTGAGATTGCAAACATCTTATTGCAAATAATTATCCGCCAAGATGAACTGTAGAAATGTAATTAATTCGTGGCATGGCCTGCGTTTGATCGAAAATCAATCCCTTATCGTTACGCGCTTGACCTCTGGCTGGTATATTTCGAAGTTCAACAACATACGACAAAGTCACTTACGTAAAATGATGGCAGCAGTGGTGATCGGACGATGACACATTGCTCGACATTAGTAATACATTTTGCTGACATGGTCCAGCAGTTTTACCATTTTCACATTCCTAGAAGTATTCCAATACGCGCGTGCACAAAATAAGAGGAAAGAAATGATAGCGAGCTATTGTAGATGAAGTGAATAGAAATTGAAAGATAGTAAACCTAATTAGATTATCACTTAACATTATTAAGTTAATATGTAATGCAGTTTAGACTTTGCATTATAGGTGGATGTAACGAGCTCAAATACTGATAAAAGAATCATTATCGCTATGATTATTGTTACAAACGAACAAATCATAGCGATATGTAGTCGTTTTCTTTTTACTGAGTAAAACCCTAGACGTTACACAAGTTTAATTTAAGTTTGACTATTTAAAATCTCTTGTTATTGACAATACGGTGAAATGTGTAAGAGAGAAATTATTGTGGAAAAACAAAAAATTTTTGTAAGAACCGTCGGCATATTGCCATAAGCTATTTAATTCGTCCTTTCGTCAACCATATTACGATTAACGAAATAATAAAATCCATAATGTGAGTATTAGCCACTTGAATAAAATGAAACAAAAAGACAACTTGAAAAGAGATCTTATTGATTGTGATTTCTTATCTCTTTGAAGCAAATAATTTCTTTCTTATACGTGCTGCTGTGCCATCAAAAGCGATGGTAATATTTCATATGACTAACTTACGTTAACGAGTTAATTTTTGGTATAAAATTCAGTATTTACTAGATCCCTGTATCGCGATGATAGCGACGACTTTCGACGATCCGAGCAGATTATAATCCCGAGAGCGTCACGCCGTTGGGAGTACGGTAGATTCTCTCCATCGGCGGAAGCTCGCCAATTTTGTACTTGTCCAAGATTGCCCAGCCGGGGGAGTGTCCGGTGCTAAGAAACGGCAAAGTCGCGTCTCGTCCGGCATGTTCCAGGATGATCTCTTGGCCGCCTGGGTGTTCCATCAGGAATTCCGTGAGGTCGTACACGTAATCGTAGATCACGAGCCAGCAGTCATCGGGTTCGTCGTGCCCGCCAACCTCTGCCAAATGGATCGTCCGGACCTCGTCGCGCGACTTTTCCTTCGGCCTGTATCTTTGCTCTCTGATGGTATCGCTTTTTTCTGTGACATTGTCACGCTCGACCTGCAAGTAGCTCTCCCTCAACGGTTTCACGTCTCCTAATTCGACGGAGCGGACAGCCAGGCTCACGAGATCCATGCTACTGTGGGTTTTAGAAACTTCCGTCCTGCAGTACAAGTATAGATTTCGTTATTTAAATATAACTTTGGTTAATTAGAACTCTTAATTATAGCGTAATTATAATAATCGTTTATAATATTAAAATAATCACGCACGTTTTTTTAACGCGATGAGCGCACACAAGTATCTTTTTGTATGTATATATTACGTAATTGTTAGTAAATATACTGCAGGCTATCTCGTGAACTGAAGTACTCAATTTTCTAATGAAAACTTTTAAAATGAAATTAAAATTAAATAAACAGAAGGGATTTAATAAAATTGAATGAAAGGTAAATATTCCGCTTAAACATTTACAAGATATTATATTACGTAAACCAAACAATAGGAGGAGCTTAAGTAAACGTAGAAATAATTTTTTTTTCACTTTGCCCTCGCATCTTGTAACTAACACGCGTCTGCTTCTGTTCACACATCCAAAAATACAATAAACGATTATTGATTGCGTTTCAATCGACAGTGAGCGACGGCGCTATGATAAAGCAATATTTGCAGTAGCGGAAAATCGTGAACAACTGCACCATTGAGAGTACATCATTTTGCAGAAATGACTAGTGGCAGCTGAAAAATACGATCGCAGGAGCACCAGAAGTATCGATTGTATCGATTGCGGAAGTAAACGGGTAGTCTACATACGCCGATTCACTCGCGCGCCAGTTTACGGCAACCGTTTAAACAATCCCAGACACTGTATATTCGGAAAACGGAATCGTCGCACGTTAAATTCACCTACAATAGCGGACGTTCCTGCTGCTGTTGTCCGTCAAGGGACATCGTATGGAACACTAAACACCGTAAACAGAAATCGATTCTCCCGGGAAAGGAGAGTAATTCTATTACCGGTTGAAACCTAATGCGTGCACACACAAAGTATCTTCTTGGTCACGTATTGCCCACGCGTGACAGTTGAATGTGTCGCGTAGAAATCATAATTCATATATGAGTGAGTGGCGATTAAGGAAAAACTTACTATCGCATTGGAAAATTCATTGTTTCACGGGAAAACAACCAAATGCAGCGATAAGATTGAAAGGGCGATAAGCGTTAAAGCTCGGAAACTAATGAAATTCTAGGAGCTCTAAGTTGCTGGAGCACGCGCCGTGCACTTGTAAATCTCACCGGCTCGTAAAATCGTTGTCCTGATCTTCTCGGCGAAGCGTAATAATCTCCCGTAGGAATTCCAAAAGTCTCATAGCTCGCTCGCACAGTTCGCAGCTCGGAGAGAGAAAGAGGGAAAGGAAAGACACTTCAGCACCGCTGCACTCTCGCGAAACTCTGCGCCACGCAAGAGAACACAGATTGACGATTGGTTTGCGATTTTATTTATATTCCACACGACGACGATAAGCAACGGCCGGTCTGACACGTGTTGCACTTTCGCCAAATAATTGCGAAAAGAAGTGACGAAGAGGCCGCATTTTTTTTCCACGATAATTCCGAGATATTACAACGACGAGATTGCAACCAGCGTTCGCGCGTAAATGATATTGAAACGCGTGATCAAAATCGTTATTTCGACGCCACTACTTATCAGAGCTATCTGTTTATATGACCTATTCGATCAGTGATGTTAAAAACATGAAGATTGTGAAAAATTAAACACGTAATATCTAATATTTTTGTAATATCTTTTTATACGTATTTCATTTTGATAACATATTTCATTATGCTAGAATTTTCTGGTCGAGCATAATATTAAACAAAAATACTATCTGTGTAATATATCAAATATATAAACGAAGTATTCATCATGAAAAAATATTCAACTTCGTCGAAAACATCTACATGATATCTTTTACATTTATTATTATGGTTAATGACGTGTTTAATTTTTCTGACTTTTATCAATATTTTACATCCTATACTATTTGTACATTTTAATGATTAAGTAGTTTTCTTATCTGTCAAGTCAATTGAAGAAAGCATAAAGGTCGTGACAACGTCATGAGAAGGCCATTAGAGATCACGGATGATTTGTAAAACATAATATTTGTAAAACACAAAAACATAATAACGCATTTTCTATCTCCGTTGAAACTGATACAACTTTTATTTACCGTTAGCCTAAAAGAGACTATAAGGTTTCACAAAATTGTTTAAATACAGCAAAAATAGGTAATGTACAAAGTTCTTATTTTTAATTTCTGTATCTCGTAGATAGTAAATTGCACAATTGTTCGCATTGTTACAGCGACTTGAACTTTTGAAAGTGAAGGGAGATTGTGCTTTGACCAGCTACCGATATAGTGGAAAATTCTGCGGAACGTGTTGCCACCAATTTCAAATGTAAGTTATCAGGAATGCCAGGCTACTCCTTTCCAGATATTTGATGAAATGATTGATTTTATTCAAGCCCGATAAGAGAAATTGCAATAATATCATTTCACGATATATTCCAGTATAATTTAAAACAACATTAATTTGTGACTTTAATACTATTCATCTACATACTTCGTTTTTAATTAAAAAGTAAGATTGTTATATATCACAGACAATAACAAGTCCAAGGCAAAAGTCATTATGTCAGTTCAGCGATACAAGTTTAAATGATACAAAAGAGCAAAAGAAATGTACGACGTCAGCGAACATGTTTAATAAATATTACATGTATTTTTACATTTTCTCTCTGTTATGGTCTGTTAAATAGTCAATGCAATCGAGAGAGAGAGAGAGAGAGAGCAAGATTATCGGTCAACTGTCAGAGGAAACTCGTCGATGACGCTCGTCCGACCGCCGCATCGGGGCGTAGTGATGCGGTGCAGATGCGAGTTCCACCGTTGACACGACGACGCCAGGCGTCGCGACGCCGCGCCGCCGTTATCGCGACGGCGCGACCAACGGCAGCGGCGTCGGCGGCGATACGGCGAGCGCCGGCGGCGGCGCACTGCGAGACTGATAGTCGTAATCATGCCACCCTGACCTCACGCACATTCCCGTAAGCACGGTGCGTGCGTCGACGTCGCAGGGGAAGATCTTTCGCGTATCCGCGACGAGTAGGAGAAGGTGGACAACGACGACAGCGACGACGACGACAACGACGACGACGACGACGACGACGACGACGACGACGACAGGGACGGTGACGACGACGAGGACGACGACGCTGGGAACGAGGTCCTCGACGAGTACGCGCACGAGCACGAAGCGAGGGAAGGTCGACGTCGCAACGGGAGGACCGGCCGGTCGAAGACGACTCGTCGTTCGCTCTGGTACCGTCGTCCAGCTCGTCTCTCCCAGTGAACGACGTCGACGGGAAAGGGCGCGCGTGAGCGGGACGGAAACGCGCGCGCGGAGGATCGCCGTGTTCGCGCACGTGTCGATAAAAATTTCATCCCCCGCGACGACGGGGAGAAAGCGCGCGGGGTTGGTGCGACAGAGGTCCCCGTGAACGAGGGTGTCGTTAACAGAGAAATGCCGTCAGCCACGCGAGAACGTGCGCGAACATCGGTGCGATCGACCGCGAGCGCGTTCGATGATCGCGAAGACGCAACGCGGGCCCTGTCCCTTCCGTCCGACGGAAGGGTAGCGTACACGCCGCGCTCCCTCGTTACATGTGCGTACGGAAGTCGTTGTCCTCGTGACACATATTAGAAATAGGGACGCCCCGTACACTTGCGTGCGCCGTTATCGCCGCAGTGCCGCGTGAAGGCAGCCGTCCCGACGCCGAGGAAGCGGCGCACGCGACGCCCCGAAAGCGCGTATCTCCTTCCGCGGTTGCACCCTCGACACGCGCCGCCCGATAGGTGTGCGTGCCGGTAGATACGGAGATCCCGCGGGTGCACGTGCGTCCGGCGAGGGTCCTGAAAAAAAGAGGGATGAGGGTGCGAGGCGACGCCGCCGGCGCTGTACGTCGCACGTGTTACTCGGACCGAGCCGGATCGATCGCCCGGAAGTGTGCTCGAGCTCGAGGCTGGTGCGGTCATATGCGTCTTATTCGCGGTGTGCAGGTTTTCACGAGAGCGGTTTTGGTGTCCGCGTGAATCGGCCCTGCCCGCGTAAGCCGATGCTGCGTTCTGCCTTCGCGGGCCAACTCGCCTGTCCAGTGCTGGTGACCAAAGTGAATTTATTGCGTACATCAAGGATGGCACCGTCTCTGGGGATGAGAGTTGATTGTTGTTAAATTAGTGAGCAAGTGTTCGACCCGCATTTGTCGTTGGTGCTCCGTCGGAAAATGTTCGATTTGAATCTTTCGTGAATATACGTGTTCGTTGCCAGTGGAACGTCCCCGAGCTTTTGAGAGGTAGCTATCGCTATGTGGTCATTTTCAGGGAAAAACACACCCCTGCTCTAGTCTGCTCTCTCGCTCCATTAACTTTCTTTTCTCCCCGCGTTTCTCCTCCCTGGGAAATTCGAGCGGATCGCGTACGAAGTTGCGACCGGGCGAGGGCGGATAAACGTGGGAAAGGGAGAAAACGTTAAACTTTTAATTGAGGATCCGATTTCTTGCTGGCCGACGGGGAGCAAATCGAATCTGGAACACGCTCCGGTTTCAAGCGAGTCTGCTCTATTTCGATGGGATTTCTCGAGATGCGGAAGACCCGACGCCTTGGTACATTCGCGAGGCGAAAACTCGCCGGAGCGGCCGGTCTCTTGTTACAAACAACGCGTGCATTAGGTGGCGACGGAGAAAGAGGTCGTTGAGAGATCGTTAATTAAATCGAGCGAGATCCTTATTTCTTACATCGCGCGTCGTCCTATCGATCAAATAACGCTAGCGTCGTCGTGGTAGAAAATAATTGTCCTCGGCTTGGGGACAGAGATGCGGGACCATTTTGGCCAACGACACATAAAATATTTCGTCGTAACGGCGGTGGCTCGTGCTTCTACCTCTCTTTATTGTATTCGTCTGTCGGCGATTTGGCCTCGCCGCGCCGCCATGTGCCGCCACGCAATAAACAGACAGGTTGTGCCACTCGCCGAGTCTTCGCTGGCACAGTTCTCGTCGCCTTTTCAGGTAACAGATCCGCGCAAAGTGCAGCGATAGTCGATTCTGCTCGAGATTATCCGCCGCAAATCTTCCTCTCGGAGAGCTAGAGGAGAGAGAGAGGGAGGAGGGGGAGGATTCTTTCCCTTTCCTCACCGCGCAACCAACGAGCGCAGCACGGCCGTCACTTTTCGTTACCGTCATTATTAATAGCGGACACATCGATTAATTGATTTATGTTATAAAAAAGAATGGCACGCGTCGATAAATAATGGCGCGTCCCCCGCCTCGTCATCCCGGCGGTTCGTTTGCCGTCAATAGAGCGTAGCGAACCTCGCTGTAACGTCAGACTTGTACGGATCATCGACTCTGACTCGCCTAGGCTTTCAACGTGTGTTACAACCCTCCTCTCCGGACCCCCTCCGAGGCCACGCTCGGGGTGCCTACCTAGTTCTTATCTCGCGTTCTCGCGGGGGAGTAACTGACCGATATCGCGCCGCTACACGCGCCCCCATTAAAAATGCAGCCCTACAGAGACCGTAGTCTATAGGCACACATTCGCGCGGCCGCGCGCGCCGCGCGTCGTACTCCTCGTTTCTTTTTTTTCCTCTCTCTCGCTTCTCCTTCATCCCGGCCGATCGAACACCAACCACCAACCCTAAATCGCACTGCGGGGACCGGAAGCTCGCCGCTAGCTCGCTACACTCGTTACATCGCACGGTTCTCTCGAAATCTCGGATACTCCGGCGAATCCGTGCCACCTCCTGCTCGCCTCCGAGGGAAACGCGTCTTCTTCCGAATGGAGCACGTGGTCTCTCTCGTGAATGGCCTTGAAATTGCCATTCTTCTCCCGCGCGTCGAGCTGTATCGGAGGCCGGAGGCCGGCCGGCGATAGTCGCGGAGCATCTCGGGGGCCACTCTCGCCGCGACCCGCGTTCCGCGAATCCTCGCAATGATTTTCCGTGGCGGTGCGAGAACTCCAACTATTTATAAATGGACCGAACCCGGTCGCATTGGCGAACGGCTCGAGTCGACGGAGCTGCCGCCGCCTCGTGCAGCCGCAGCCGCAGCCGCCTCGTGCGATCGCGTGGGGAACAATTCGCTACCCCATGATAAAAATAGAAGCTCCTAGCCAGCTAGCCGAACTCGAGGCTAGAGCTTGTAAGCGCGCGCGGCACCGCTCTAGCCACGCTAGAGCGGACGGACGGACGGACGGGCGGACGTACGTACGTACGTACGGACCGGCGCACCGGCGCGAGCGAGCCTGTGCCCGTGCGGATGCTGACGATGATGCTAATGTCGGTGCCGTTGCTGCCGATGTTGCGCACCGAGCTAGAACCACATCGTCCGCCGCCGTCAACGTGAAGAAAGCGCGCCCGCGCGCGCGCGCGCGTGCGTGCAACGTCCACGTGTGTGCGTGTGCCCGGTTGCGTGCGTACGTGCATGCGTATGCGCGTGCATGTGCACGCGTAACCGTGAGTTCGACTCCGTTTTGCGTTTTCCTCCACGTCTTACTTCCTCCTTGTAACCCGTCTCGAGATAGACTCAGTGCCCGCCGAGGTTTCATCGTGGGTCTAGTCCCGTGGCTCTTAGTCATCGACCGTTCCACCGTAGGTAGATCTCCTGGCGGGTGACTCATCAGAGAGAGCCCGGTCGGGTCTTCGTTTCCCGAAGAAAGCGCCAGGTCGGAAGAGAAGAGCTTTCGTGCCGTCGAAAAACGGAGAGATCGAGCGAGAAAGAAGAGGTGGACGGGACAGGAAGATAGGGAAAGAGAGCGAGTAAGAAAGAGCGAGAGGGAGAGAGTGATAGAGAGGGAGAGAGTGAGAGAGCGAGAGGGAGAGAGAGAGAGTGAGAAAGAGAGGCACATTCCGAGCGGATCACGGATGCTTATAGAAGCGTTGCGTAACGGCGTCAGGCGGACAGCGAAACCGCGACTCTGTCGGGCTCGTTGTCTCTAGTTTCGACAACCTCGAAGGGGAAACCCGGTACCTCGCGCGCGATTTCCAGCGGGTTCTCGCGAATCCTAGAGCGGCAGTTCCATGCCGATCGCAGATCTGAGGAGCCGCCGAGTGCCGTGTGCACGACACGCTGGACGCGCGTCTCGCGATTGCTCCAAGAGCCTCGACGAGTCCCGATCCCGTCGATCCACGATCACGGGCGACACGTGCGTGTACATGTGTGTGTGCGCGAGTGAGTGAGAGGTAGATCGACCGGGGTAGTAGCACGGCGGGGTGGCTCGAGGTGCTTCGTTCCGTGGTGGCGACGGTGGTTTAAGGTCGAAGATGAGGATAGGAGGGGAAGGATAGGAAGTGCTCGAGGGGGAGGATCTCGTGATCGACAAATCGACTCGCGAAATCTAGGCTTGTCAAGGCCGCGGTTCTCTCGGGCTCTCTCTCTCTCGAGAAAGAGCGAGAGAGGAGAGAACCGTGTAACGCGCTCTCGAGATCGAGAGACGTAGATTCGCGCTCGTCACGTTCGCGCGCTCTCGCACGTTCGGTTCCTCGAAGTTGTACTAAATTTAAATCCGGGGCTCCGGCGCGAGACTCGCCGATTCTTTTCTCACGTCCGGCTTCTCTCGCGCGGACCGCGTCGCGATGACAGGCGCGCCTTGAGGATTCGAGTGTCTTGGATCCGAGCGCGGTCCGGGGGTCCGGGGTCCGCGGTTCGGGGTCCGGGGTCCGGGTGCGCGCGGGGCTCAACCCGATCTTTCGCGAGGACAACAGCTCCGTCGTCGCGTACCGCTTCGTGTCCCGCCACGTCCCGCAACGACGTCGACGATAAACGCGCGATCGTTACGGCGGATCAACGTTCGATTCTTCGGTGCTATTGTAGAGACCCGGTGGAGGCGGACGTGAGAAGGCGGCGGCGAGGGCGACGTGCAAGACTACGGCGACGTCGGAAGAGAAGGTGGCGGAGAATGGGGCGACGCGCAGGGCAAGGCGAGTGCAGACGTTGCTGACGAGAGAGCACGAGCGCAATCACGACGACGATAACGATCACGACCAAGACGAAGACGAAGACGAAGACGAGGGAAACGAGAGTGTCCAAGAGTAGCGGTAGGAGGAGAAGACGGAAGGGAGGGACGAGGGAAGCGTGAAAACGAACGACAGTGCCTGCGGTAATTGCGAGAGAGATGCAGCAACAACCGCACTCCGGCCAGCAATCCGGGGCGCCGAACGGGGTGGCGGGGGGCGCCCAATTTCCACAAACAGGTGGCATAAGCCCGGCGCAACCTGGCGCGACCGGCACCGCCGCGAGTCGCGCGCAAGTTAACGGGGGCAGATTCGACTTCGACGACGGCGGGACCTACTGCGGCGGCTGGGAGGACGGCAAGGCCCACGGCCACGGCGTGTGCACCGGGCCCAAGGGCCAGGGCGCCTACTCCGGCAGCTGGCATTTCGGCTTCGAGGTGTCCGGCGTCTACACCTGGCCTAGGTGAGTGGCTGCCGACTACGTTGACACCGACTACTCGGTGGTCCGCGCGCGGCTTACTCCGTTTTAGATGACGGACGGTAACGGCGCCTCGTTAGCGCTACACTCCACAATGCGCGCGACCGTCAACTGTGCAGTTTACACACGAGATTACCAAGGATTACGATAAATTTCTAATTTCCATGATACACGTAATCCACGACGTTCATCTGGTTGCGCGCGTTTCGCGGAACGAATTAATCTTGTATTCTCTTCGCGTTGGCGCACTCCCGGGATTTGCACAACGACCGCCGCTCCTCCGGGTTCATGAAGGATTAATGCTGAGCTCGTTTACGCCGTGACGAGTGTACGGTTTTCAGGCTGATTATCCGGTATTACGTTACCGCCACCGCGCCTGTTTCGCGTTAACAACGTCGCTCGCGTAGCGAGGCAAACGAGCACCGAACGTTACACGCCGCGATAGTAACGCAAGTCCGACTCGGTGCTATTTCGAGAGGCTCGGGTTCGGTGGTTGTAGAAAATTCCCCGGTCAGGTCCCCGGTGAGTTCCTATCGGACGTTTCGTTCGACGATTTTCGCCAATGCCCGAGTCAAATTCACGAGACCCCTGGCGTCGCGTGTGGCGCGTCATGTGCGAACGGCGGACCTTGACACGTATCTCGGTATATACCTGGGAGGGAATCTCCCGATCCCTGCAAAACTGGGTCACCGTGCGCAAGGACAACCGGAGCAGGTCACCGGGATTCGAGTTGTCAGGACCTAGTTCAGGGTCGCGAAACAACCGCCGTCCAAATTTTGATCGGGGATGATCGCGAACGCTGCTGAGCGACAGCCGCGTTCGCGCGTGCCAAAGATGACAGTCTCTTCTCAAATTTTTTTGGAGGAATCAAATCGGTTTATCGATACGGACGTCTCTCCAAAAGAGTGCTAACAATGTCAGTTTCGGTAACAGAACTGCGAGATACAAGTAAATGCTCAGGTTCTTCGAGTCGACGGTTAAAACGAACGAAATCGAAAACTGTTAAAAGTTTCGTACGGACGACGGCATCGTCAGCGAGAAATATTTCAGGTTGTTTTCTTCCACGAAATTAAGCAAAAAGGTAGAAAGTGCCGCTACTTTTTTTTTATTTGTCGATCGATCTTGCCTTGGACTTTTTTTACCCGAAATTGATTAAAAGACGTGATTAACTATTTACAAAGAGATTCTAGACGATTCGTGAATACTACAAAATGTGGGTTGGTAAAGTAATTGCTGAAATACTCCGTTTGTTTCTCGACGGTTAGTTTTACGAGTGGACACATAACGAGGGGCGTACGACAATTAGGAAAAAATTCTACGATATCCACGTGCACGCGAAAACTCGGAAAAGTTCTAACGGCTGTAATTAAGGTTTCTAGATCACGCGCGCAAATATTATCGAGTTGGAGATGTAACAATAGCAAAATACTACACGTGCCAATTTCAATTGTGATATGTTGCAACGGGTTATTAAACTACTCGATGTTAAAAATGAAAATTTAACATTACTCAAGGCATTATACAATTTTGAGCTGTCATCACGTTACGTTGTGTACAAGTGACGTTTCTGAAGTTATTCTCCGAGATACTCCGAGATCTACTTGAATATAAATTGATTTCTTGTTACTGCGGTTTCCGGAATAACCAACATAAAAAGAAAGAGAGAAAATAAAGCGGCGACAAACGATGTGTGAGAGCTCTCTTCTTCTCGACCACGTATCTAGGCCGAGAGAATTCGCCGTTGCGTTTCCGTAAACTGGAGCAAGGTCCACGACCATCTTTAGCTAGCAACATTTTCCGACACGGCTTCATTCTCGATCGTGATGATACTTAAAACCGAAGCCGAGTTTCGCGGATCAAGCACGTGTTGCCGACCGCTATCTTTCAGAGAATGTTCCCTCCACGTGTCTAGAATTTCACTACCGTCACTTACTTCGCGAAGAACGCGCGTTGCCGAGAATATTTCGCGTGCGAGAGGTATTGCCTTTGTCAAAATTCGGTCTTCAAATCGGACCTTGGTAATACTCGGATGTGCGCTAATTTTTACCTTTTGACTTTACTTCGCTGACGACGACGACTTGCTAGTCTACGAGTTTTCCTGTTTTCTCATTTCTATTGTTACTTGAAAAGGACCTAAAGTAAGGTCGAACACGTAACGAATTTAATAAAATTTGCCAGTAGGGTTGACAATAAGCCCACCGTTTAATTTTTTAACAAAACCGCCTACAGAGGCTTGAAATTTACGCGTCAGATCGTTTGATTGTTAATTTTGCCGTAGTGTTTTAAGATATAAAATGTTCCCTTTATATTCATTCTCAAACCTACAAATATAATTCGAATATTATTTACAATTGCATAACGTTGCACGGGGACAACTGTTGCATTGTAAAGATTTCTAACGTAATTATTGTATAACGACCCATGCGATAAAATTATATAAAGTTTTGTCACACGATAGACTATCGCTAAGCACAAGTTTACGCAATACACGACACTTAGAGAACATTTCTTCAACGATTTTTGCATTCAACTTTCACGTTTATGCAATAGTCATTCGCAAGGATTCGCTCGGGCAGGATTAAGCATTCTCTTTCGAAAGATTTGCTATAAATGTCCTTGGACTTTTCTTAACATTTCGCAAAAACTGCGACGATTAAAGGGAATAATTAAATTATATCCGGTGCTGGATTTGGCAAGGTTTTCCGCGACAAAAAGTAGTAACAGAAATAAGCTTAGCGCAAAAGTGATGCTTTAATCGCACTTGAAAGAACGCTCGCTCGAATAGCTCTCCGTTCCTTCGGTAATTATAACTTTCATAAAAATATCTTAAAAGAAGGATCGTAGGCGGCGCAATCTACATTGGCACCAAGTGTTAAGCTCACGTTGCTATTCCACTCTGCACATCCGACAATGTGGAGGCAACGTCGCCGACATCGTCATCAATGGCGACGCAGCCGGTAATTATTGGACGCGATAATTAGACGAGTTTTCAGTTAATATGCGTGGGCAAGGGCGGCATAAATAGCGACGCGATCCTCGGAGCGTAACTCTCAAGGATATTTTTGCGAGCGAACGGCGAACAAAGGCGTGAAGAAACGATCTCTATAATTTTAAGTCCCGTCCGGAGGGAAGGCTGTTTTGGAAGATTAAATTGGGTAAATTGCATTTCAGCGGGTCAGCCTACGAGGGACAATGGCAGAACGGCAAGAGGCACGGCCTGGGCATGGAGACCCGTGGTCGTTGGCTTTACCGGGGAGAGTGGACTCAGGGGTTCAAGGGTCGTTATGGGGTCCGGCAATCTACTACCTCCACGGCGAGATACGAGGGCACGTGGTCCAGTGGTCTGCAGGACGGCTACGGCTCCGAGACTTACGCCGACAGCGGTGAGCCTCAAGTCTATTTAACACGTTCGCGATCAACGTGACTTTTCTCCTATAAATCATTCAATGCAGAGGACGTTCCTGAAATACATTGACAAATAGCAAGCTCTCCTTCGTCTCGAGGCTGAAAACATATTTTCATAGAAAATAATTATAGAAAATATTACACAACTGGGAAAGTTATAACTGGAGAAGACGTCGTTTTCAACTGATTGTTTGAGAACGAAAGAATGTGAATCGCCAGTAGTTAATTAATAGTAAAAAGAATTGTTAGACGACATTAGGCTGGCAGATGGTTTGTTTGTTTGACTGCGACGTTTCGACCATGCGGGTTGTGGTTCTTTTCAAGGAATTTAATAATAAATCATCACGGCCTAATGTCGTCTAACAATTCTTTTTACTATTAATTATTTGAGTTTCTTTATCTCTAATATGAGCAGAAAGTGGAAACTCTTCCAAAGTTGAAACAATTTCCACGAATATACAAGCTGATACAACAGCCTTCGAGCGATACGGTATCGATTCATAATAACAGTTAATGCCATGTGCGTGTACAGCAGTGTACTTTTATTTGGTTGTGCGGTCGCACAAAGTTCGGCTTTGCCTTTATTGATTTCGCATTAAATGTGATCGCCGTTAATAAATGGGCAACTCCACTCGCGAATGAAATATTTTGTTGGGCGTTAAAAGCGCGTCGGAAATCCTCCCGTGTGTGCTCGAGAGGGCCGGCCGCCTATGAAGCGAGACATCGTCAGTAAATAAATCACGGAGTTCTTTTAATAAAGCCTCGCGAGGTTGACTTGGGAACGAGATAAATAAACAAAATAAGAAACGGATGTGACAGAACGCATCGTCGATCCCGCATTATCTCGGTGAGACATTTAGTTGCACCAAGACCGACGGCCGACCTGACGCAATTTAAGTGCGTCTACAAAAATTAACGCGGTATTTAGAGAACGCGCCTCTCCTTCGCCTCGAATTCCTCCGCTCACAAAGGTGTCATTACCGAGCGAATTGTCGCGGTGTTTCACTTGAAATGCTATATGTATAGTAGATTAATAGAATTCACAAGGCTGTCAAGTGATAAACACAAATTCGAAGGAATAAAGACTAAAAAGCCGTGACAGAATGTTAGTATCAAAATCCCGAGTCGACATTTTGGCCCTATATTGAACTTTTAATTCTATTATACAGTAGGACCTAAGACAGTAAAATAAGTCGAACTGCAAGTACAAAATTTACTCCTACTTTAAAACTGATAGTGTCGGGAATTTCGACTTTTGCCAATTTAGCATTAAAGTAGGTCCTTTCAAGTAGGAGCTAAAGTAAATTTTTAGAGTTAAAGATACGAGGGAGGTGTAAAAAATGTAATGTCATCAAAGTAGGTTATTGCTGGTCTATGTAGGTGTATAGATCGGCTAAGTAGGTGTAAATTATCCTTGAAAGTGTCAAAATAGTACCACAATTTCTACTCAGGATAATTCATATTTGAAATTTATTGCGAAAAATATTACCTAAGCCAGGGTTTGAACCTGAACCTCCCGCTCACTAGGCGGGCGTCTCACCGGTATAGTAGATTATATAAAAGAAACACTCGTTCAGTCGCGTCCAAGGAATCGTTCCTACGGAGCGATTCAATCAATGGCAAGGTATTCGATTTTTATTGTTGCAAATAAAGCTCGTAGGAAAACACAATCGCGACAAATAACGCCGCTCGATCAATATCGCTTACGAAGGGAAAGTCTTCTCGAGGAGTGCCAGGATTGATGATTCTGCTGTGCGACGATTGCGACGTTCCTGAAAATCGATGCGACCTTCGATAGATTCTTACCGCGCTCCAGTCCTTACAAGCTGTTTATTCGTTCCTTTTTTTTCTTCTTTCTGGTACGACATCTCCTTCTTGCACGAAGTAACTCCTCAACTTTGGATCCCACCCGCTATCGCGAGCAGCATCGCGAGATTCGATACATCTTAACTGTCGTTAATCGACTTGGTCATAATTTCTTCTTCGCTGTTGAACTCTAATTTGCCGAATTCATTTAACTTGTCGCGAAATATCATTAGAGGCAATTTTCCGTAGTCGCTCTAGTTGCGAATAAACGACAGGCCATTAAACGGAATCGCACTCCGACCGGCGAGAAAGTAGGACTATTATCCAACCGATCGATTATATCGCTGGTGAAACATTATTAAGTATTCACGTGCTATCTACCGTAAGAGATCGCGGCGTTGCACATTCGCATAACATAGAATATTACCGGCTTATTAATTAAACGCGCTATCGCGTTCTCAGACCCGCCGTATTTTCTCGAGACAAACTTGTTCCCGCCCGGAACGCTCGCGACAGATGCTGGATCTCAGCGTGTTGTGAAAAGATCGCGAGTAAACCAAATGGAAAATTTCTTCTCGTAATTCCGCGCGGCGGAGTTTCGCCGTTATTCATCTCGCAGCAGCGAAATACTTCGAAACTGCACGTAAACTCGAAGATGATTCTCGCGATTCCTCCATACCGTTCGGTAGAGACGACGTAGGCGAACTAAGTGCGAAGACTTGGCGTTCTGCGTGGCGTGCAACATCCTGCCGCCGATGAGTTCATCCCGATTGCCGATCGTCTTCCGCGCGAGGCACCGGAATTCAGAAACTGGAAATGCTCTACCGAGTCGAAATGTTGCTACTATTTTGACACTTTCAAGGATAATTTACACCCACTTAGCTGATCTATACACCTACATAGATCAGCAATAACCTACTTTGATGACGTTATATTTTTCACTCTTCCCTTGAATCTTTCATTCTAAAAATTTACTTTAGCCCCTACTTAAAAGAACCTACTTTAATGCTAAATTGGCGAAAGCAGAAATTTCCGACACTATCAGTTTTTCAGTAGAAGTAAATTTTATACTTGCAGTTCGACCTCTTTTACTGTCGTAGGTCCAACTATGTAATAGAATTAAAGGTTCAACATAGGGCCAAAATTTCGACTCGGGCTGACACGGCCACGTCAGACACGTCGAACACGCGTGCGTACATTATGCTCGCACGAAAATAGCACGTCCGATCGCTCGACGCGTATCAGTCGACTCGATATTTATCAAATGCCACAGGTTCCCGATTGGATTTAATGCTTTACAGCTCCAGCGTATCTTTAATGAATCACTACAAGTCTCTCTCGCGCCTCCCGCTAGACCACGCTCGATTTAACCGTTCTTCTTCCTGTCGCGTAAAAATATGTTCCGAGAGATACCGTCTGTCTTCCCGAATAATATATATCCCTTATTACCCGTTACAATGTTCCGAAGATGGACCGGCCTAGCGTTTGAAAATGCGGGCGGCTTGATCGTTCTATATAAAACGCCGAGGAACATCGGGCAGAATGAAATACGATAAGACATACCCGCCACTGCCAGCCACGCTCACTCTTTCTCATTCTCTTTCGGACGGTTCTCCATCTCTTCTCGCCCTTTGCAACGGAGATAAGTGAAGTGCTGGCGCTATTTCGACGCGGAATCGAAACCGGCACGTTGGAGGAGCCGCGGCAGTCTCCTATCGCGAATGGACCGGATGCCGGGACGTTTATCGTGAACGAACGCGGTTTATATACGCCATACCGGTGTCTGCATCATCATGCTTCGCCGACAAACGTTCCGAAAAAGAATGAGGATAATTGCGAGCAGATTGAAGAATTTTCAATACATTGCTCGAATCTTTTCGAGAGAAAAGTGAATACCATGTCGTCAAATGGTTTCTATTCATTTATCGCATTCTGTTGTGTAAATTAAAATAATTCGGCTTTCCCGAGGCGAAATTTTGACCCTATGTTGAACCTTTAATTCCATTATAGTAGGACCTAACACAGTAAAAGAGATCGAACTGCAAGTACAAAATTTACTCCTACTTTAAAACTGATAGTATCGGACATTTCTACCTTTGCCACTTATGCATTAAAGTAGGTTCTTTTAAGTAGGAGATAAAGTAGATTTTTAGGATTAAAGATTGAAGGGAGAAGTAAAAAATATAATGTCATCAAAGTAGGTTATTGCTGGTCTATGTGGGTTTAGAGATCAGCTAAGTAGGTGTAAATTATCCTTAAAAGTGTTAAAATAGTACCACAACTTCGACCCGGGTTCATTTCAGATTAATCTTTCCTTAGGAAAGAATATCGACAAATTATCTCAATTCGTCCTACGGGAGATGAATCTTCCTTTCATATTCGGATTCTCTAATTCGACACGACAATTTGTCGAGCACATCGTTGCAGTAGGAATTTACTTTAACCGTTGTTATATTACATATATCTGTTTTATGGATGTAATCTTTGAGGGGGGGATGAAATTATTCTCTTTAAAGTTTTCTAACACGCAAACTTGTGACGCGCAAGGTCGACAATATCATATCGAGTGAAAAAATTGATTAGTTATTAGAAATGAACTATATATTAATTAATTAATAAGAAACAAGTCTTCGCGTCTATTTTTTCGACTTTTAAACTGCGCGCCGATAAGGGTTGTCGGCAGCACACATAATTGTCAATACGCGATTTTTAAGTATCCCTGTCTCTTACCACCCCCCCTCCCCATTCCCCCAATTACCGGGGAACACCATGTTTGAGGTCCATGGTGTACAATCAACTAATAAGAATATTCTTCAATGTCGCCAGCGGTAATTAATAACGTCAGTGTTTTCTTGGCCATATCTGGCATTTTGAATAGTACAGAAACTTTATCGCGCAAAATATAGACATTTACTCTCTCGAGAACGTCTTCCGTAAAGATTTCCGGAGATTTAAGATTTTGGTCGTCGTGACGCAGGACGAGAAGCGGGGGTAGAGCAAGCATGCAGCACGTGTATGCATGTCGCGTGGAAAAGGGCGAGTCCACGTAAACATGACGAGGGCTCGCACCTACCCTGACGCGCGCGGGCGCGCCCAACTTTTCCGCGAAGGCGCCGGTTGGTTCACCTCCTGGTTTGAACCTCTCCGCCGCGGGTCAAGGTCACCCGCGTTC